TTGACCAGGATGGTCTCGATCTCTTGACCTCGTGATCCACCCGCCTCGGCCTCCCAAAGTGCTGGGATTACAGGCTTGAGCCACCGCGCCCGGCCGCTCTTTTCTTTTTTGATATTGAGTCTCGCTCTGTTGCCCAGGCTGAAGTGCAGTGGCTTGATCCTTGGCTCACTGCAAGCTCTGCCTCCTGGGTTCAAGTGATTTCCCTGCCTCGGCCTCCTAAGTAGCTGGTACTACAGGTGCACACCACTACACCTGACTTTTCTGTATTTTAATTATTTTTGTTATTTTTTTGAGATGGAGTCTCAGTCGCCAGGCTACAGTGCATAGTGTGATCTTGGATCATGGCAACCTCTGCCTCCCGGGTTTAAGTGATTCTCCTGCCTCAGCCTCCCAAGTAGCTGGAACTACAGGCACACACCACCACCCCCGGCTAATTTTTGTATTTTTAATATAGACAAGAGTTTCACCATGTTGGCCAGGATGGTCCTGATCTCTAGACCTCGTGATCCACCGGCCTCGGCCTCCGAAAATCCTGGGATTACAGGCGTGAGTCACCATGCCCGGCCTATTTATGAGACAATGCCTTGCTCTGTCGCCCATGCTGGAGTGCAGTGATTCCATCTCGGCCCACTGCAATCTCCGCCTCCCGGGTTCAAGCGATTCTCCTGTCTTAGTCTCCCGAGTAGCTGGGATTGCAGGCGTGCACCACCACACCCAGCTAATGTTTTGTTTTTTTAGTAGAGATGGGGTTTCACCACATTGCCCGGGCTGGTCTCAAACTCCTCACCTGATGTGATCCACCCGCCTCGCCCTGCCAAGTGCTGGGAGTGCAGGTTAAAGGGGTTAAAGAGGCGGGGCGCGGTGCACGCCGGGAGGCGGCTGATGGGCGGGGCCTTGAGCGTCTGCTCAGCCTCCGTCTGTCGTCGCAGTTTCCCACAAGCCTACGGGGCAGGGACCGCGCAGGCGCAGTTGTCTGGCCGGCCACGGTGAACTGCCGGGTGTGGTGTCGCTGGTGCACGTGCAGCCACCGCCTCCAGCCTGGGTGAGTGCGAAGCCCAGGGGAAGTGGGTATGGGTGCGCCTGCGGGTGCGGGGGACCCCGGGGTAGTGGGTGCGAGTAGGCCTGCAGGTTTGGGGGACTGAGGGTGAGGGTGGGTGTGGGTTCGCGTTGGCATGTGGGGGAACGAGGGGCGCTGCGTTCGGGTGCGGCTGCCGGTGTGGGGGCCGAGGGTGGGTGTGGGTGCCCCTGCAGATGTCGGGGACCCAGCGGCAGTGTGGGTGCACCTGCGAGTGTGGGGAACCTAGGGTGGGTGTGGCTGAGCCTGCTCCGGCCGTGGTGGGGCGTCTTTGAGGTTGGTGGTTGTGGTTGTCCTGCGGCGCCGAGGTGGCCACGCACCTGGGGGGGGGCGCTATTTCCGTGGTCGGGGGGTGTCCTTGGAACGTGGTCCCAGCCACTGCTTTTCCAGTGCTGCCTCCCTGCAGCCACAGCTGTGCTCCCGAGAGGATGCAGGTGCGGGTTCTTCATAATGAGGCTTGTGGGGAAGAGGCTGTGGAAATGGGATTGCTGTGGGAGCTGGAGAGTCGAAATTGGCCTCAAGACAAGCCCTTGGCTGATGCCTGAGGATTAGGACCCCCCA